AAATGATCAAATAAATTAGTAATTTATATATTAATTAATATATTTATACTAATTACTTATTGGTACATTTTATGACAGGCAATGTTTTGTTATATTGTGTTATATGATTTTAGTATATTGATTATTTTCTTAGTTGTAAATAGATTATGATGTTCTTTATTTAATTTAAATATTTTTAAATTCAATAACATAAAGAATACGTTTTATTTTTATGTACATTTGATATATGTTTATTTTTATATAGTTATATATTCACTATTTGTGTTTCAGTACTGTGGCACTGAACGGGTTAAACGAGACAGGAGCCACTAAATGTGGATGAAATGTGATTGGTTTGGTCCCTGTGTGTAGATCAACGCAGGATAAAAATCTCCAGCCCTTGCAGATGGAGGGGGAAGAGGGGCTGGCATTACCGCATGCTGTGTAAACACAGGTGTGTGTGTTGAAGAACAGTCGATGATCATGATGATCTGGAATCGATGAGCAGAAGACAGTCATGCAGCTGAAGGAAGGACTAAAGACGCCCCGGAGATGATGCAGAGGGACGCACGTGGATGGCAGAGACCCCAGCATCCTCTCAGGTATTTAGAAACGGGCAGATGTTGTGATCGCTGCTGCTCTGATCGGATGTTTCATTGAGGAGCTCCTCTGTCTGCATGCAGCACATGGTCTGCAGCGCAAAACAAACACGTTTGAGAATGAATTCCGCGACAATGAGCTATTAGTTAGTTACACACGTGGTTTGTGCAGAAATGTAAAGTTTTATTGTTATGCATGCGTTGTTTCGGTATGATTTTTAATTCATATATATACAAATATTTTTTTTTGCGCATTCTTATCGTGCTGTGTAAAGTCTGACCCCTGATCTCAGTGCGGTTGGCAGTGTTTGGAGATTTGAGTGTCCTCGCCTGAGATCCAGGCGCGGGATCAGGTACATTAATGGGGTCACACATGCACCTCAGCGCGTTAACTGTTGTGTTAATTAATAGCAGTTGTGTTTACTTATTATGTTAATGTGCTAGAGTAAAAGTGTAACTCGATGTGTGCAGTTTTTGGGCATGGACACACGCGTGGGAATGTTGCGTTGCTCCTGCGCGGAGACTTGGGCGTGTTCCATTTTCATCCGCACTTACTTTTCCGCGTTAAAGGGGTCATATGATGCGATTTCAAGTTTTCCTTTCTCTTTGGAGTGTTACAAGCTGATTGTGCATAGATAAGATCCCTGAAGTTGCAAAGACTAAAGTCTCAAAACCAAAGAGATATTCTTTCTTATTCGACCATTTCGTGAACCTAGGAGAGGAGGTAATTCTGACTTTGCT